CTGTTTACGATATTGTTTTAAGACAATGCAATTTTTTATGGATATTTTCCATAGAATTACCCTTTTTTACTTTTATAGAAACTATTACAAAAGGTGATAATTTTTTATTGGGTTTTCAAACACAAAAACATAATTTCTTTGTATTTTGTCATTAATTTCGAAAACCACCCCACCAAAACTTTTTATTTTTACTCATAAATGTGCAAAAATAAAATTCTGCAACTCTTAAATTTATAGAAATCGTAAAAAATTTTCATTTTTATGTATCTAAATTTCGTACACCGAAGAATTATAGTGCTGATTGTCTTATGGAGCATTCCGAGAAATCACTAAAACAAATACGTATGCAAATAGGGCTGCAGTCGTAAAATATGTTGCAGAAAATATGGGAAATATTGCAAAATTTTGCAAATAAAAAACGCCAGCAAATATGAAATACGAACTAATAAAATGGCACGGTAAAAATATAAAAATCAGAAAGCAATGAAAAATTTGCAACAGATTTCGCAGGAAACAAACAACTCTAAATAAATACTTGTACGAAGAACGGTTAGAGACGTAAGGATATGCAACAAAAGTGTATGACACTAATAAAAATGCTAAAATAAGAACCAACAAACCAGGAGCGAAGCAGGGAAGGAAGCACAAGTACATCAGAAAGGACCAAAGTCGTTTGTGTGGAGTAGAAAAACACAACACAACTAAAACCTAAGACATGAAATATTCATGTGCCAGTAACTGTTATATGGAGAGCAGCGAAACACTCAACGGAAACACTAACATTCTTTCTCACCATAAACAATATGTTACAGTCGTAAGGACACGCAGCAAAGTGTCACAGATCAAGGACTCTTTAATGTCATAGATAAACAATATAAAATTTAATTTAGAGCGTCAAGAGGAATGCGCTTTACTTGTAAGTGGTTTGTCGTCAACCTACGAGCAGGAATGGAAGTGAAAGATAATATTTTCATAAAAGCTTAAAAAGTGAAAGTAAATAGCGAATATGTGAGTGCAATAGCGATTCTCTAATGAACTCAACATTTTCGCAAGTTATTTTAATATTTAAATATTATTAACATTTTATATAACTTATTTATACTAAAAGGTAAAAAATGTGTAAAATTAAAATTAGCATTTGTTTTGTTAAATAGAAACACACTTTACAGATATTTTCTGAGAATTCTTTAACCCAAGTTGTTCATATTAGAATTGTGTTATTTTAGTGTTGTTTATTATAGAAAAACTATCGAAACTGAGTGGTTTAAATGTTAATTTTAAATGTCAAATATGACGAAATGAAGTTATTTATAAGTTAGAGGGGTTTCAATAGTAATAAAGAAACAACAACAACAATTTTTAATTAATTTATTGAGATTTGGTTAATCATAAAACGCTGTTTCGAGTACTACCAAGTACTCATTATCAATGATCTTAGGAAATATTGGAATTTTTATTTAATTAGTTTAAAGTCCATATGTAATTTGTTGAATTGCAAGTATCTGGCTTAGAACTTGTTTCTGTCAAATTAGAAACGATGATTAATCGTGTTTTCCACAAGTACCCAAGGCTGCACAAAATTCGATGCTCAAGTTCCAACTTTTTTGTCCATTTATGTTTAAGAGCACTTGCTACACCTTTTTTTTTAATTAAAACGAGCTTTATTTATTATTATTATTATTTCATTATTATTTATGAAATTAGCTTAATTTGAAAATAAGAGTTCAACGAATTGAAAGTTATTTATTTAGTTGCCTATTTTTTCAGTTTAGTATAAACTGTGCATATACTTGCAATATTTCCGAGTATTTGTAATCGCTAATTAGTTCGTAATTCAAAAGTTCTAGTTTTTATTTTAACTCTATATACATATAATATTATTATCAGAATTCAACAGAACTCTTATTACTATGAAACGCGGTGCTAACTCACATTTCATCTAGCAAAAACGAAGAACTATATAAATATATATTACACGAGTATAGAGGAGCTTAATTTCCAGAGAGTAGTAATATATGTGATATCTTTGCTTGCAATTATGACCACCGACAATCAAAAAATAAACTAACACGATTATATCCTAGAATATGGAGAACGAAGCCACAATTCAGGAAGTCAAAAGAGTTTATTAAATTGTTAATTTAAGTCTTCTTCTAAATTAACTAATTTTTACTAATGAACTAATTCTTGAATTAATTTTCTCTTACTCGATTATTATAAAAAATCTCAAAGCATTAAATTAGAACTAGAAAGGAGAAGGAGAAACTAGGCTACTAATAGTGCACATCCCAAAAATGCGGTGAAAAAGTAAATATCTGGACGCAGATCGAAAATCAAAAGAGCATGTGTTGAAATGCCAACATAAAAGAGACTCTACCCGAAATGATGCAAAAGCGGTTTCATGGGCGAATGAGTCTCTCTGTAGACTTTAGTAGGTATACTGCATATATTATATATTATGCAGACGGGCACACTATTCCGATGACGGTCAGTTTTATGGTGCTTAAGGCATTCCGCCTTTTCACCACAAAAAAAAAACTAATAATAATATTAATTGTTTATTAATATTTTATAAATATATTGCTAAATTTCGAAAATTTATATTTTGATTGGAGGTGAAATGTAGTCAAATATTCTCAAGTTTTAACCATACTTCATAAAAAGGTACACAATTCTTTAGCATTAATTGATTGTAAAAAATCAATACAAGTCACAGAAATGTCTAACTTATATAGGTATAAAATGATTTATCATTATTGGTCATATTGAAAACAATAGTAACAAAAGTAGCAATCAAACTACTAAAGTTGGTAAAACAAATTTTTAGCACTCTAATTAAGTTACTTGACTAAATAATCTGCACAATACAAAACTTAAGTGATTTTCAATAAGTTTGATCTATTAACTGATACTGATGATTTATAAGCTGTCTCATTTGTTTTTGTATTATAGGTAAACACAAATGGTGTGAAAAGGTGTATATATTACTTAAGTATATATTTCTTAAGTATATTTTCATATATTTCCAAAAATCCGAAATATTCTTCAATTTAATACAAACAGGTTCTTAAAAATAACTTTTATGTATATAAATACATATATAGTATTTTAAATTTTATTTATTTGTATATTTGTATTTATATACATAAATATTCACTAAATTTATATATGTACAGAAACTTTCTTTATGTGTGTATTTATATGCATATGGATCTTTATATAAGTTAAATTACTGCAGACTCTTATATGTACCTTTTTAGTGACTTGCAAAAATAAAATCGACAAAAACAACTTGCTAGTATATCCAATTTTAAGTATATTCCCTTCCCGTTTGCCACAATTTTTCCTAACCATTGCCTTAAACTGGTTATTAATTATATATAACAATGCGATTAATGAAATCGACCTAATAGAGAGACTCTGTGCTCCAGCTAAGAGTACAGAATTACATACATATAAAACGACCTCAAGATATAGTATAGCTCTCATAATTTTGCTCTGCACGACAAAACTACTAAAATTTTAGCCTCTGACCATTAACTTCAGATTTTTGTGTTTGAGAATAAAGCCAAATAAAAAATGAACCTCAATGGATTTATTGTGAGAAGAAGATTATATAACTGAGTAATCGCCCCCTTCGAATTTGAAAGAATCGATGATATTAAATATCTTGAAGTGCTACTAAGTCGAAGTAATAATTCCAAGTCTGTGAGCCATTAGTGCTGACCAGCAGTAAAAAAATTCAATTTCTGTACTGGATACTATTAAACACCAAATTTCTCAACAAAACATGGAAAGTAAGAATACACGAAACACTAATAGGTTCGATTGTAACATATGGTCAAGAAGAGTGGATCCTATGTGACCGTACAAAGAACAAGCTCAGTATATTTGGAGGAAAGGTTTGAAAGCAGTTTTTCAGTCCAACAATGGAGCGACTTGAATATTATCTTATAGTGGTTTCAGAACTTATTTATTTGCTCGATCACAGCCGTCGAATGAAAAATACAAAACAATTCCTAAGACGATATTGAATTCACGGATTATTAGCAGGAGAAGAGAATGATCCCGAAAACTGTGAACTGTTGACTCCATAAATTACCAGATAACTATCGAAGTGAGGAAATATTATTTACTCTCTACTGACCATAATATCTTAATGAAAAAAGTAGAAGAAACTGTATTTTGCAAAGGACAGCATGTAATAAAAAAAAATATGAAACCAAGGCTATATATATATAGTTGTAATTCTAATATTAAATTATTCTGAGAGATATTTCCAATCCATTACAAGGTACTTCATTGAAAATAAAATATTATGTTATAAACTATAGGTTCTGTAATGAAATTTATTAATGTTAATTGCCAAGTTTTGCAGCCAGAAATCCCTACATAAATATTCTGTAAATGTTTTTTTAAATGAAAAACAAAATTTCGCTTAAACACTTTTAGTTTATAGTTGACAGCTTTTTGTTTATATATTTCTTTTGCTGGTTTTTGTTGTTGTTGCTTCATCATCCACTGTCGAGGCACTTTAACAGTTTTAATGGAATTTGTTAACTTTCCGCTTTTTTGCATAAGCTTTTAGCGTTTTTGTTGCCTTATTGTGACAGTATTTTTGGTACTTGAACTCGGCACTTTTTTCTTCGGAGTTTTAAATAAAATACAGCAAATAGTGTTTCACTTTTTATTTGCTGAAATGCTTTTATTTGACTATCAAAACTGTCAACTAAGTAACTTTTGGCAACGAATTTACGCACTAAGAACTAAAAACAAAAATAAAAAGTAGCAGGAAATTAAATTTTTATGTGAAAAAACTTGGTAAATTGGCAGTACTGAGCATTTCAGTTGGCTTGTTCCCAATCAGCTTCACTTTGTTTTGTTTCTTTGCGAAACAATTTCGTTAGCCTTGATTTCACTTCATGAACTACATATATTATTAAACGATTATACATTTAATATTAGACAAATATTAGTATATAATATAAAGATTTACTCACGTTCTTTTTCTGAGCGATCTGCGCTTCCTTCTCAGTTTCTTATATGTGAAGGTGCTCGGTGAAATTGTGTAGTCCTCATCGAATTCCATTTCAATTTGAATTAAATTTTGCAAATTTAATTGGCACTCCTAAAAATAGGCAACACAAAATGTTTTTTTTTGATGAAATTCAAATTTACAATAAAATTGATTGGATTTTTATAATTTGAGCTTCCAGCCTTACAATCTAATGCCAAACTATCATCAAATATGGCAAGCAAAATATTTCAGTTAAAATTTATTGGCCATGTTATAATAACTTACAATGTGGAAATCAATACTGCGATGACATTGATGAAATTTTCAAAATTTTGTGTGTGAGCAGCTAATGAATTTCTAATTAATTTGATGATGAAATGTGCTTATAGCAAAATATTTGATTTTCATAATACACTATAAAGGCTATTAATTCACAAGCACAAATGCTCACACAATATAAAAGCACAGTCATGGCAATATACAATATAGAATTCAATTAAATATTATAAGATTATTAGGACGGATAACAAAAACTAATTGATTGATGCTTAGTTTAACATGAAGATTAATATTTTTTATAAAAAAAATCAAAAAGATGTATAGAACTTGTTTCATACTTCAAGAACTATATTGAAGCTATTAGAATCTAGAAACAGATCTAGAAGTTATTAATAATATTAATTATTTTTATTCAAAATTAAACTCAGTATTCCTTGAAAATGAGCTAATCTAGAAATGTTAAACATATATGTAAATCCTGTATAATTATCGTGTGACTATGGTTGGTGTTTTAATAGGTTCTTATAAATATCAACAACAGTGGCAATTGCAGAAAATATTGAGTTGATACCTAGAGTGTTTCTTGTGTTTCTTTTCGACTTTTTCGAAAACTCAAATAAAATATTTTAGAACAATAAGTTTTCAAAAGATGAATTTTGTTAATTTCCTTTGTATTTCTCTCACTTCTGACAACTCCCTTTTTTTTGCATTGTAACACCAAATAATCTTACCTTTCTTCTACACAGAATAAAAGTCTACCGATAGCTGTAGGCAGAAGTCTGCGCTTAAAAACGTTTGTTCGAAGTCCCGTCAAACCAGTTGACGGGACAGTTGTTTCAGTTGCAAACCAATTTTATATCAGATATCTGTGTCAACTAAATTGCATACATATTCGGGTATTGCTAGATTATTCGCATATATCTAGTCACCAAGAACTATTCGCTCTGTATAACAATGCCTTCAATCAAAAACACACTAGTTATATCAGAGGATAACATGTTATGTGCTATCACATTAGTATTGTTGTTAATTGAATGTAATATTTTATTAAATAAAATTTATTTTAATGCATAATATATTCCATATTATCATGCTTTTCTTGTGTCTATAAGTTCTTAAAAATTGTGAAAAACTTATACTAGTTAATGATTCATCTTAGTACTTAGGAATCCAAACGATCATCTTTTTTGAAGTTGAAATCTATCTCAATTTAATCTAAAACTATAAGATTTCAAATCTTATCAAAATTAATTTACATTCCTAGTACTAGCCGCAATAATGAATGGGAATACTTACTTCTAGTGTTTTAAAGTGCCATCTGGTATCTCTTGTTGAGCCACTAATACTTTCCACATCTTCACTTCGGCAAATACGTAACGTGGGCCAACATTGGCAACGTTTGTTGGTTATTTCGCAGCCAGCGTCTATAAATATTGTCTCATCATTTGTACAGTTTTTGTTGTGATATGTAAAAGAAGATGAAGAAAAAGGGAGATCTGAAATAGAAATAATTATGTAATGAATTTTTCTTTATTTAGTAATTCCAAGACTTATTATATTTAAAATATTTTAATAATTATGTATTAAAAATATTGTAAATTTATATTAGAGATTTTGTAAAGTATATTATATCTAGTTTCTATATGAGTTCTTCAACGTTAAACTAAAAAAAATAGTTTGTTTTGAAAAAAAATTAGATATTTTAAATGAAATAATGGTTTAGGGAAAAATTATTTACTCTGTTTTGGCTTGATGCAGCCCCTTCTTATTAACAGTAAATACAGAACATCAAGTATATTTTTTTACTTGTTTTGTTGGCATTTTTAAAAATTGTTTTTTAATATTAAAATATATATCGATTATATATTATTTTGGAACGAGAACTTCAAATTTCTTAATAGTTTTAAGATATCTCATTGGGTATATATGAATAATAAAAAAAATTTGGAATTTGTGTTTTACTTTTATATAAAGTAACTTGTATTACTTTATATTCTAAACTTAATTACTCATCTTATATTCAATATTTAATCTTACATAATCTTATTAACTGTTACTCTTATGCGGGTAACGGGTCATGAAGAGCATGAGAGCAATGAAATAGTATTACTCCTTTCATTGCTCCAGAGCTCTTCTGCGGGGTAACAAATAGCTTCACAAATAATTTATTAAGTGAACGGAAGAAACAAAATCTACTTGAAGACTAGAGAGCCCAAACGGGCAGTCAAGAAGATTCACTGAACCTGAACACATCAAAGTTTACGATATCCTTAACCTTAACAGAAACAATATTAAAATTTACAATTAACTTCTCACAGGACACTATAGACTTAATCACCACTTGAAGATTATAGGTGTGATAAAAAGTGATTCCTGTCGACTCTCTCATGAGAAAAAGGAAACATCAGAAAATACGCTATGTAACTGCCCAGCAGCGACAGGACGTAGACTCGACTACCTTGAAAGCGGGATCTTAGTCCCGAATCAAATAGATAAATTGAAGCCAACAGCAATTACGAGATTTATAAATAGTCTAGAATTGTTTTAGTTGAGCCTTTAGGCGCACAATAGATCTTTTATGTTAGGGTGCATTCATAGCTTATTATTTAGTAATAATATTAATATAAAAGAACTAAAGTTTTTTAAATTTTTTAAATTCTAGTATGTGAAGTTATTAACTCTTGTACTGATTTAAGCCAAATCACTTAAATTTATTAAAGTTATTTAATAGTTTTTATGGAGAATATTTAAATCCTTAAATGTGTTCCTCTGTTTACACGCATATCCTGTGCGTTTAATATTAAATGAAATCGTGTGGAAAATACTTGCTATGATTATATTAAATTTTATTTTTTTTCAATTAATTTTTCCATCAGCAAAATGCGCAATTATATTTACAATTAAAATAAGAACAACAAACATGGCAACGCAAAGGTAACAACAACAACGACGCCAACAACAGCAACATCAATAAGTACAACGAGCAACAGCAATAATTATTATGGATACAAAGGAAACATATCACGCAACAAATCATGAATTTCCAAAGCCTTTCACATCACTTATTAATAAAAGAAACAAAAACAAAAACAAAAACAAAAACAAAAATAAAACGGAATAACGAAACCAGCAACGAAAACTGAAATCAAATAAATAAAAGGGAATAATTTCATCCTTTTGCGCAGTCAACAGAATTGATAGACATTTCCACTTCATCGCTAACGTTTCAATTAGGAACGAATTTATTTCTATCAATTTAAGGCTTTCATTCCCACTGAACTACCACCACCTACCTATGTGGTCTGTCTGTCCGTGAAATCGCTCGATTTGCCAGTGATTGTTTACGCTTATGTGTATTGGTGCCGTTAACTTGACTGCAGACTACAGACTACAGTAATTTGATTAAATTTTTACTCATTTTATTTAAGTCTGCCTCTCCGCATGTGGAATATGTAAAATTAATTTATTTTGCAACATAGCAAACAAATTGACACTATTTTATTGCGTAGCATATCTACTTTCGCATATGTGGTACTGTTGCAGTAGTAATTAGTTGTTGTGTGTGTGTGTTTATGCATGCGTGTGTTTATCTATATATAGGTGTTATCTGCAAATATATTTACTATAGTAAATCTTAAATTATTTGCGTGCTTGAGAGTTTATTTGTTTTACAGAAGCACGTGTTTTCAATCAGCTAACCTTGCGTCCCTCTTCCCTAAAGCACACTTTATGGTTCCTACACATTTCGTTAATGTGAAATCATTTGTTGTTATATTTGCAATCGTTTTTTCTGCCTTTTCCTTTCTCCCCATTGCTTCACATGCAGCGTAATAAGTTTTTATCGATTAAAGCTGCTCACACAGTACATCAGTTTACTTCATAATTATTGATTTTTATAACTTTTTAATGTGGAAGGCAGGCTTCTTGCTTTACTACACTAGCATGTGCAGGGTATGTTCAGTTCGTAAAAAAATTGAAAACTTAAGCAAGCGTGTAAGAAGAAAATCAATTTGTTCATGCCGTTACTATTTCAGTTATTTTGCTTTGTTTTAATATTAAAATTAATTTTTTTTCGCTTTTACTCGCTTTCGTTTGCTCACCAGTCAGGGATAATTAAGCTATAACTTTGGTTGAAGTGGAAATGAATGGGCTATCCAATTTTTTTAAGCTTCCATAAATTTCAGTTTATACTGTTTTTGATGTGGTTTTATCGTTGGTTGGTTAAAAGCACATTAATGGAGAAGAAATACGAATATGCCATAAAAAACAGGATATTTGGCATATGGGGATTGAGGTTTTAACATAAACATTTATACGTAATAATTTTGCGCGTTACAAATTCATTTTTTTAAAATATTTGTCTTACCATTTTTAATAATAAAAATAAAAAACTACCAAATGAAGAAGCAGCAAATTATGAAATGATGTCTCCTGTACAGATGGAACTCTCAAGTATTGCAAAAATGAAGCTTCAACACAGAAAGAGATAACATAAACTATTAAATAATATTTATTTTAGTATTAAATAAAATATAAAAAGAATGAGCAATAATGCAATAAAATTGGAGATAGTTTTTGTTCACGGCAATCTTACACTATCGTCCTTTCAAATCGGGAACTTATCTTTCAGCATCACAAAGACTCATTGGTCCTCTGTCTTAACTATATAAATTTTAAAGAAAATGATGCTATGAAATATGGTCCCATAATAACGCAAAGATGCTTTACACTAAATCTCAATTTGATTTTAGACTACGACATGAGACTATTGAGCTCTGCAGTATTTTTGGATGTGGATTAACCTAATTAATTGATTCCTAAAAATATGCACAAGCTCTTTTTCTTATATAAAGTTACTAGAAAATTTGCATTACAATTCAATCTTTTTTTTTGTACTCGGACCGTTTTTTTACTTAATTTGTGCAGCTGATTTTCTCTTAAACTTAAATTAAGTAGTTACTTGACACCGCAGTTCTCAACTTTAAACCCTTATAACTTTTTTACAACTTGTTCAAAAATATACATTTTTAATTTTTTTTAAAGCTTAAGATATTAATATTTCTTATGTGTTAAACAATATATCAATTTCAATTATTAATAAAAATTTATAAATGAAATTGCACAAAAAGTCTATATTTTTTATTGGCGATTTTCACTTCTATCTGCGATACCCAAAAAAGGTATTCGAATTTTTTCATAAAACTTTTCCTACTAATAACCAATTGATAGAATTACACAAAAAACCAAAATTAGCCTGTGCACTCTACGTTGTATACCTATAAATTACGCAAATATGACTTTAAATAATAATTACAATATAATAATATAAGAGCATTGAACATTAATGTTTAATTTATTTATGTTTCAAATTTCAACCAAATCGATTGAAAACCAACGATTTTATAATACATCTCAAAAACTATAATTAAGGAAAATTTTATGTCTATATCTCTACTGGTTCTGATCGGCTAATTTCTGTTTTGTCACACTATCCGCTGATATGGAGTAAGAATGTTCATGATAAGGTAAGTAATAAAATAAAAATTTTTCAAACGATTTGTATTTCAATTCGCAGATTACTTTTAAAATATGTTTAAATGGTTTATATATTTTATGCAATTTACTCTTATATTATTATACTTATAATAAAGCACAAAGTTTTATAAAAATTGACTCCGAATTCAATTTTTTTTTGCAAACTTAAGCAAAAGAAATTTACAAAAGTCCAAATAGTTAATTTAGGAAACTAAGTTATTAACTTAGTAGTGCAGTGAATGCTAAAAGCATTCAGGAAAAGTGTTGAAAAGGGTGTTTGAATTGCCACTATAAATAAGGACTTAAGTATGCGTGACGAGCACAATTGTGATGGAAATTAATTTAAAATTATTGCTTTGGAGCAACAAATAAGATTGCGAATGACAATGGAAATTTGAAAAAATTTCTAAAGCATCAGGACCGAAACACGGTAAGTTACTGCAAATTAAGGAAAAAAAAATAGTACATAAAAAAGGGAAAGAAAGCTTTAAGTGGAACAACTAAATTTCCTTTACTTTTATTTATTTTTAACAAAGTCATATTTGAAAATAGTTGCACATAAATTGTGCGCTACCAGAAATAATTTGCTTATCAGCAAAAAGTTAACTCAAAAAGGACTACTTTAGAAAATGGAAGGATATCATTCTTATTTATTATTTAGAATTTTTTTACTTATACTTCTGTACTACAAAAAAGAACCTAACCATTGAGTAAAGTGGAGGTCGATTGACATGGCAAGCTAATTGACAACTTGCTGCTGATGGAGAAAAGACGTATGATAAAGCAAAGTGTTGAGAGCTATTTGTACCCTTAAATAAAGTTAAAGTGTTCATTTTATGAAGCAGCCAGCACTCAGTAAATAGGACTGAAATGTTACAAAATTGTACATAAGGGAAATGCTTGCTTAAAAGTTCATTTATACCCACAAATAAGCATTCGGCATGCATAGGCAAGCCTAAGA